ACTGTTGGGGGGAGGTGTGGAGGAATTGAGCAAAAAATAAAAATAAAAGAGGAAAAAACTCACGGACACAGACAACAGTGGGCAACAGTGTGGTGACTGCCGGGGGGTGGGGGTGAGGGTGGGGGAGGAAGAAGGCGGAGGAGGGTGTGGGGGGATCAACGGTGATGGATGGAGACTTGACTGGGTGTGGTGAACACACAGTTCAGTGCACACATGACGTGCTGTAGAGCTGTGCTCCTGAAACCTGTAGAATTTTGTTAACCAGTGTCACCCCAATAAATTCGATAAAAAGGAAAACATTAAAAGTAGTTAAGTTAAAAAAATACGCATACATAGTAACACAAATGAATTGCAAAATAATAATATACTGAGTGAAAGTCCAACAAAAATACAGTATATATTATGTAATTCCACTTCTTTTCATTTTAGAAAATGCAAGCTACCCCATAGTGAGAGAAATAAGGCCAGTGGTTGCCAAGGGATAGGACTGGGAAAATTACAAAGATGTACAAGGGTACTTTTGGGGGTTGAGAGAGATGTTCATTATCTTGATTTTAATGATGGTTTCACAGGTGTACACATATGTTAAAACTCATCAGACTGTACACTTCAAACATGTGCAGTTGATTATATGTCAGTTCTACCTCAATTGACTGACTTAAAAAAAAAGAATCAAAAGGAAAGAGAAGTGGGAAATAAAATGGGCATGAGTTTCTAGAGAAAGAACAGGCAAAACATGGAGAACCACCGACCCTGAAGGAGAGAAAACTGCATGGAAATGTTACTGAGATAAAGAGGTAAAATTATACTCCATTTAAGAAAAGGAATACACTGAAGCCATGGGCACCCCCACCACCATGGTGGTGAGTGGGGAAGTCCCTCAAGTTGGCAGAAAGACTGAGACTGTGACGAACCATGGTCCTAGAGAAGCAGGAGAAAAGAGAGGAACTCCTAGTTTCCCTCAGGATCGTCCTAGCCAGCTCACCTGAGGCAGAGCAGGCAGGGAGGTGAGCATTTAAGACAAATGCAAACATATGGGAGCAAGACTCCCTTGAAGTTGCCTCCCTGGTTTCAAATCTGACATCAAAAGCACCAACGCCCAGTGTCCTTCTTTACTCCTTAACCTTGAGCACCAACACACCTGAGATGATGCAGGCCCAGGCAGGGCTGTGAGAAACATGTGGGTCCCACGTGAGCAGGGGCTGGCCACCTGGAAGGGGCATGAGTTCTGGCTGTTGGACTGACTGTCTCCTCCTCCCAACCTGCATCAGGCGTTTGCACCAGACACAGTGGAGCTACTGGGCAAAGGCAGTGAAATAAAGCAACCTTGCTGCCCTCAAGGCTCTGACATCGCGGTGGGGGACACCCAGGAGGGGTTTGGGCCGGCTGAGGTGACTGAGGTGATTGAGGTGACGGTTCGGCCTGAAAGCAGCCAGCTCTGAGAAGACAGCAGGAAGTGAGGTCACCAAAGTGTTTCTTTCAGGACTCCTCGGGCACCCCTGCGCTCTGTCACCAACAGCTCCCGGGAGCATCCAACCTCATCCCCCTCCACTGGCACCTGGCACCAAGGGAGAGGGGAGCTGCTTAAGCCCTTCAAGGAGAGAAGGTCAGCCCTCCATCGGTTCCCAATGCCACCTAAACACCAGGAGGTTTTCCCGTCTGCCTCTAGATCTTCCCTGACTGCCAACACATTTGAAACCTCTGTGTTTCCTTTTGAGTGTATTGCTGCAGCCCAGAGGGAAACAAGAGACCTGCATAGGGACTGAGAAGACCTGAATTCTGTCATGGTTTTGCTCTGCAGAATTCAAGGTTATTCCATTAAAACAAACACAAATGAAAGCCGATCTGAATTTACTCCTATCCTCAACACTAAGGAAGTGCAAGATGGGACTAGTCATTAGGAAACCCTTTAAGTTACTCCAGGGAAGTGGGAGCTCTTTCCTTTCCTTTTATTTAAAATTATTTTAAGCATTAAAAGAAGAGAGAAAAAAAAGTCTGGTGTCAGCAGAAAGGCCAAGACCGCTTTCAGAGGTTTCTCTTTGGGACCTTAGACAAACCACTAAACAACCCTGGGTGCCAGTTTTCTCAATTGTAAAATGAGAGGGGTGGTTTAGGTCTGTGGCATGTGGGTCACAGAAGTCCTCTGTTCCTTCATTCAGCTGATACTTGAGAGCTTACTATCTCCCAGGCACTGTCCCAGGCACTAGGTTACAGCAATGAAATGACTGGCAAGGGCCGTACACTCCAGTTGGAGTCTAGAGAGGCTAAAAATGAAGGAGAACGAAGCAAGGTAATGTCAGGTAGTGATAAGCACTAGGGAATACACCAGGAGCGCCTGGGTAGGAGGTGGAGCGCGTTACTTGAGGGAGGGTGGTCAGGGACAGCTGCTATAGGAAGGTGAGAACTGAAGGGAGTCTGGAATGGTGAGAAGGAACCAGCCACAGGATTCCAAACGAGAATGGGCCAAAGCCCTGCGGTGGGAGCAGGCTTCTGTGGCTCCCTCCACAGGTGAAAGAAAACCTGCCCCCCCTTTCTCATGTATACCCCTTCTGCCAGTAGTACATAGTGATTCCATTTACATACAACTTTTTAAAAAGTAGCAAAAATATCATATGATTTGAACAACCCCTTCAAGACAGGCTTTCTCTTCTACATAGCTTCTTCATTATTGCTAGGTTTCTGTCCTCATGATTATAAATTTTCCCACTTATTCCAGGCATTTAACAGGATTTATATCACAGTTTTCCAAACTGTTATGATAGTGATCCATAGTGAGAAAGAAATCTTACATAGTGACCCAAGTGTATACATAAAAATGAAACAAAAGTTTTAAAAAGCCAAGCTGACCATGGCTACCTGCAATGCACTGTAGTAATTCTATTCGATTCCATTTTTCTTAAATGTTAAGGTGATTTCAAAGGTAACTAGTACTTTGAAAAACACTATTTTAAACTAACCTTGGCTAGGGATTTTGTTCAAAGACAAAACAAAACATGGAAAATTTCAATATTAAACAACCTCAAAGGCCACCTCCCCTCCCCCCTTTTTCTGTACTCAAACTTGCTTTAAAGCAATGGAACCCAAATCTCTCTGTGACTTGTGGAGGAAATGCCCAGAAGGGACATTTTCAGGAGGGGGGGGTTAGGAAATCAGAGGAACCCAAATATGCAAATTGTTCACTAGGTGAGGACATACCTTTGGCTTCAACGATTGCCCAAGAAGGAAAGATTCATAAAGTCTTCATAAAAATAAGAGGGGTGGGGGTGGGGTGTGTGTGTGTGTGTGTGTGTGTGTGTGAAGCTGTCAGAAAACCACGACATTTGAAGCGCCCGAAGGAGTCTGTCTGCATTCCTCCCGCCCTCACTGCAATTCCAGTTCCCCGTGGACAGATGTGTAACTGCAGCACTGAGAATCACACCTCAAATGTAGCACGATCGCAAGGGGTGCTCAATAATGTTTTGGTTAATAACTTCTGAATAATAGAGCTCATTGTCACTGTCAAATCCTAACTTCACGTGTGTACCCAGTTATCACATTTTTCTGGAATACATAAATGTCACACAATAGTAAACAAAACTTACTTATTTTCAGGTCATTGTTTAAGTCCAGGGAGCTTAATGAGGTGTTTTTCTCAATCACTAAGCAGGAAAAGGATGTTTTCCATTGCAAAGTACAAGAGATATATTGGCGGTAATAGAAAGATTCCATGTCTGCTAGTGGCCATGGGAAAGCCGGGATTAAAACGAGTGTGTTAATAGGTAGTTTCTCAAGGGACACTAACCCTTGGGCTCTGTCAACTAAGGGCTCTCTCTGGTGGAAACCAAGCCAGTTTCTGTGAAACGCAGTCACCGTCCTCGCCCCTGAAGTCAGAAGTGCACGCACCCAATTTGCAGCAGCCCCAGGGCCCTGGAGCCGGAAAAATCACACCTGCAAGCAAGCATTTTCCCACACCGCCACCCACACAAAGCAGCTCATTTAAACTGTGCCCTTCGGCCCCATTTAGGGACATCCTCAACGGTTCCAAATTACAACTGTTGCTTTATCTCAAAAACAGTGATACGTTGGGAGGGAAGCACATCCATGCTTTCTTTGAAGTCATTTATCTGCTCTCCTCTAAGGGGCACAAAAGCTGTCGAGTCAAGTCCGAACCTGTCAGAGCTTCTTATTATGGATGCAGCCTTCCTCCCCCGCCTCCTGCCTCCCCGCTCCCGTCCCCCTCCCCGTCGGGCTGGATTTCCTTTTCGGAGGCAGTGACCTCCGGTGAGGAAGTGTCTGAGGCTCCTTATCAAAACAAGGAGGATGCACCGTAGAGGGAGTGAGTCAGACGACAGAAGCTAGAACGCCCCCCTCATCCCAGCGAGTCAATGCGCCCCACTTCCCCTGGTCAACAACAGGCCGGGGTTCAGAATGGAAGAAAGTCTTAGAGCAGGGCGGCCAGCCATTCGCACACCGGCGCACTCGCCGGAACGCGAGGTGGAGCAAACCCTGCTGCCAGACCAGAGGTGCGGGCGGGCGAGTGCGTGAGTGTGCACAGGGCGAGCCTGCGTACGGGCGAGACATCAGTGGCCGCTCGGAAGACCCACCACGGTTGACAAAGCCACAACTATTACGATTAGAAATATCATCCGCAGGCACTGGCCGCGGTGCCAAAATCTCCCCGGATTTATTTTCAGGCAAGTGACTCACGACCTCGTCTCCCTAAGTAATTCCATTAAAATGAGTCGCCCGTTCCACTAACCCGACTTTCCGCTGCTCCCCGGCTGCCCCTCCCTCCACTCCGCCCATCCAGCAAACCCAGACAGCTCGCAGGCTGAGCAACCGTACCCCAGGGGAGCAGAAGGCAGGCTCTCGCGCCCGGCCCCCAGGCTCGGGGATGCATGAATGGGGCCGCAGGCGGGCTGGAGCGCCCGGAGGGCGCGTGCGGGCTGTGCGCGGGCTGCGGACGCGTGTGTGTGTGTGCGCGCGCGCGCGCGCGTGGGCACGCACCCCGGCCAACTTACTGAGGTGGAGTTGGTCCTCCCATGGCCTTGGTTCCGCACCTCCTGCTCCCGGAACTGCAGTCCAGCCAGATGCTTCTCCAGTGCCTCCCAGTCCATTGGGGGCATCGGGGGCTCCGCTGGCACGCACGTTCCGGGGTCCGTGGGCTGAAGGCAGAGGCTCCCAGCCGCCGGGCCCCGGCCGCCACGCCGGCCCCCCGCCGTCTGGGGCTTCTGGGCCACCCTGCGGGGGCCTCGAGAACCGCTCGGCCAGGCGGCTACCACCACATTGCCATTGTGCCTGAGGTCCTGGGGGTCGTGCGGGTGGAGGTTGCCGTTGGGCACCGGGGGCGGCATGGCGGTGGTGGCCCTCCTACCGCCGCCGCCGCCGCCGCGGGTCCTGGCGCTCACGTCCCCCGGCTCCCGGACGGGACAGCGGTCATCTCGGTACCCTGGCTCGTCGCGCTCGTCCTCCTCTTCCTCCTCCTCCCCGTCCTCCTCCGGCGCCCACTCATCAATCACCTTCTTCTGGTAAACCGGGAAGGGCTCCTCATAGTCCTCCAGGGCAGACACCAAGTCTAGGCTGCCCCCCGGCGACGATGACGATTTGCACTCGGAGCAAGGGGTCACTTTGGTGGAGTTGGACTGCGAACTGGCGCGGCTGCTGCTGCTGCTGCTGCTGCTGCTGCCGGCGTCACTGCCTAGATCCATCCCATCCTCTCGGTAATCCTGGGGGGAGGAGGCAGAGAGAGTGAGCCGCCGGGCCGAGCTTGCTCCGTCTGCCCGCCGCCCGCCGCTAACGCCTCGGCCCAGCGCCCTGCGCCCGTCTGGCCGGAGGTGCGCCCCACCAGAGGCCTGGGGGCGGGAGCCGGCACCAGCCTGAGGCATCGCTTATCCCACCACCCTCTTCTGCCACAGCCAGACTTCCTCCGGGCAACTAACTCAAATCAGCAAAGGGGGTGTCCAGCCACCAGCGCGCACACTTTCCTTAAGAGGGGCCGCGGGGCGCGCACGGACTTTGTTTTAACCATTTTGCGCCAGGCGCGCCCCTGCACCCGCCCCAAGGATTCTCCAAGAGCCCAACACTTTCCCAGGGAATTATAATTCCCCGGGGGCGGGGACTGAGAAGAGGGTGGGCGGATACTAAATTCGCACCTCGGTCAACGCGCAGAGACCACCACCCACCCGGCCCCGCCCCATCCCCGCTGGCGGTGGAGAGAGCCGGGCTCGGCTCGCCAGCTGAGCTTTACTTTCTAAGGAGCCGCCGGCAGCGCGGAGGTCTGACTCCCGCCTCCGTGCCTCCCCGGCTGGCTCTTCCTCCGCTAGCCGGAAGGCTCGGCGTAGGTGGGCGCTCTGAGCTCCCGCCGAACAGGGCGGTCCCCACTGTCCCCAAAGGTGTGCCGGGCCGGGGCGCGGCGGCAGTCGCTGCAGGCGCCGCCGCCGCCCTGGGGGAGGAAGGACGCGCCCTCCCGGCGGCGGAGCCGGTCCCGCCACGGAGCATGCCCAGAGGATGCCGGGCGCGGCGCAGTCCGCACTCCCGGTTTTCACAGCAGCAGACTGGGGCGGGAGGTCGGGCGGGGATGGGGTTGGAGTGGCCGGGGAAGGCCCGAAGGAAAGAGGCGCGGGTGTTAGGGGCACAGACCTAGTTAATAAGCAGGGGCGGCGCCCGGGAGAGGGTGGTGAATTTCAGCCCCGCAGACACACTCGTATTTCCTGGGCGCGCCCCAGCCCTCTCTGCGGGGCTGGTTACCACACCTAAGCCTCCAGCCACCCCACAGCGCGGGCTGGATGCCTCCTGACCCACGCGAAAGTCCCCGAGTGACCTCGGGAAGGACCTCCCTCCCCCACACGCGAACATACACAAGCCCATGTGGGAGCCCGAGTGACGTGTGCGCGGTTGTCATGCACCATCATTTCCCTTCCACCTTCCTCCTCGCCGCTTCCTCTCCTCCACCACTCAGCTCCAGTCGCCAAGCCGCCCTCCCTTACAAGTTCTGACTGTGGGTGGAACCTGTTGCTTTAGCTCGGTTTCCTTCCCTCCGGGCTGCGCTCGGAGAGGTGTGTGTATAGGGCATGGAGGAGCAAGCGTGCGATCGGATTGCTACCTGGCATGGTGGTGGAGAATCTGTTTGGGCGAGCCTCCAAAGCCCCCTTTGGCCACCTCCAATCAAGAAGACAATAAAGGAGAGGAAGAAGAAGATACCAAGTGACGTGCTCCTGGCACCTTGAGGGCTTTGCTTCTTTCAGTTGTTCAGGAAACGGAGTTAAAGAACCCTATGCTGGATTTTTCAACCAGGTTGGGGGAGGGGGGATCCCTGCACAATATATACATATATCAAATCACTATGGTGTACCGTTTAAATATTTATAATTTCATGGTCGGGGAAGAAGGAGGGAAAAAAGAGAAACAGCACTTAATTTTACAATAGACTGAGGCAAACCAATCTCCTTGAACTTCCAGATTTGGACCTGTTACTAATTACTCCCAGTGAATTCTAGCCTAGACCAGGCCACTGCCCTGGCTTGGCACAGTCCAGATGCCAGATGGAAGACCAGGGGAATGCCTAGGATTCTTCAACAGGGAGTGGCTGCCACCCTGACATTCCTTCTCAGTCCTAATGGGGACTTGGTGCAGAGACCCTTTGTTTAAGTGATTGCTGTGAAGTGAGACTCTTTCCTTTCCTGGGTAAGCCTGAGCCAGGGAAGATAAGCTAGTCTTCTGACTTTTCTGGAAGCAGCAATCTTATGAATAACAGGAAAAGGGGCTTTCTGTTCTGGAGCTCTTTACAGGACTGAGTATATGTCTTTTACGGTAAGATCTGTAAAGATCCTGCGTTGTGCTCCAAATATGGCTTGGTTTTGAGGTTGCCGCCCAGTGCTGGGGCAGCTGGCTGCCCCACTGTGGGATGGAGGTAGCCCTGTGAGTGTTCAGAGGGTTAGATCATGTCCTGGGACCCAGATAGCTGCTTTCAAGTCACCATTTGACTTGGCAAGGCTTAGGGCAGAAAAAGTTCCCTGCTCTGTGGCAGCGCACAGGTAGGCAGGTAAGTATTGATCAGCTGCGGTGGTAAGAGAGACTGGTGGTCTCAGTTTAATTTTCAAACCTTGGGACCTCCTCAGCCATCCACCCAGACTCCCTCCTGGGCTTCAGCTGCTCTTCCTGCTTGCTGCCCAGATGGTCTGTGTTCAGGGAATGCAAAATGAAACCTTAGAAAAATATTTGGCAAGGTAAAATACACTGCCAAAAATGCATGGCATTTCAAAGCCAAATATAAACATCTTTGAATTATCTGTCCTTTCAAATTATTTTTCGACCAGATATTCTCGATCAGATGGGAAACTACCAGGTTTCCTTTTTTCTTCTCTCGTCATACAAGGTGCCCGACTAGCCCAGCGTCCATTCTGTTTCCAGCTTTCCATCGCCTGCCAAGAACCGTCCCACTATGAAAAAGGAAGCCCTGCCAACTCCTAGGCCGGCAGAAGTCCACGGATATGTCCAGCAGGATGGAGAGATGATTTGCAAAATGATTGAAAGGGTCTGTCTTCCTGTTTCAGAAAGTCCCTTCAAGTTAGAGGCTTGGAGCTTACAGACTTAGATTTGTCCCTGCAACCTTTGTAAATTAGGCATCAGAGATGTGAGTGAAGTAGGAGTCATCCCAGGCCAGCACCTTCTCCCATCAATCTCCAAGTCCTGTCCACCTGGGTCCTGAAATGACTGAACAGTCTCTACACCGTCTCTGCCCATTCTCCTCAAGCAGTTGGAGTAGCCTTTCTCAAATGCAAATCTGAGCAAGTCTCTCCCAGGCTTCGTTAAAACCCTTCAGGGCTCCTCATTGTCTTTAAAGGAACTGCTTCTTGCCCAACCTCCCCCAACTTCTTTTGGCAGGTTTCTACTCATCCTTTAAGTCTCAGGTTAAATGTCACCTCCTCTTGGGAGGCTTCCCTGATTCTCTATCCCTGCCCCGTAGGGTCAGGTGACTTTCCCAAGCTTCCATGACATTCACTGCATCTATCACACATGCTTATGGAAGTTGCTGTTAAATTGCTCTTCTTTTCTACTACTCAGGAAATCCACTTTACCTCAAGGCCCAGGCCACACATACATGTAGCACCATATGTAACTGGAAAAAAGTTGTATAAAACTCTTATTATGTAAAATCCTATCCTACTTCATTTAAAACACAATTTAGTCACACCTTATTACATTAATTTCATAACCCGTAAATGGGTCAGGGCTCCTACTGTGAAAAAAATACTCTAAATTCCATGAAGGGCAAAGAAGGCTATTTCTACCTTGTTCGTGTAACTGGAAGGGAATAGGAGCATCATCAATATCTTGTTGCTGGAATTATTCATTATAATTACATTTAATCCATTTAACCCTCAAAAATCCTATGAGAAACTATCATCCCCACGTAGAGGTGTGGATGCAGAAGACAGTGAGGTTAAGGAACTTGCCTAATGTCTGCAAGCTGAAAAGCCAGGAGGCAGAGCCAGGATTTGAACCTGGGTGGTTTGGCTTCATTATCCTTGCTCTTAGTGACTCATCTACAATTCAGTGTCCCTTGGTCCAGCTGCATATGGATGAATTTACTAGGCAAAAATGGCAGAAGGGTCTCCTTGGAGCAACTGCACAGTCCTGCCCAGCCTCCTGCCCTGCGGAGGCTCCTTGGGCAGCAGTCGTGCGGTGCAGAGAAGGCAGCTGGCGAGAGCAGCTGTTCTCTTCTGCTCACATGTGCTCGCCCTCCTCAACTGTCGACAAGTTCAGCAGTACTCAGCAAGTTGGGAGATTTCATCGCGGACAGCCAGAGTACAGACACCTCAGAAAATGAAATTTCACATTGTCATGAACTACGTGCCTTAAGTTCCCCCCAAAACAAACCCTTTAAGAAGATTCCCACCATGAGATTGGGGTATTAATGTTTGTCACAGATAGGAAACTGCACTCGTATTCAAAGGGTAGGTAGGAATGAGAGTATGTTCCTCGGAAGTCAGTGCTATTTATAGGATTCTAATCTGTAAAGACAACACTTGAGAAAAGACAAGATTGAAATAGTTAATTATAAGGCATATAAATAGGTTGGAAACAGATGTATTTACAAAACTCCCAAACAAATGAAGTTATTATCCCTAATGCTGAACCTTCTCTAAGTGGTGGCCTTTACAGTAATAAAGAAATGGCTGGCAATGGGGTTTGTATTCCATCTTTAGTACATGAATTACATGCAGGTCACATGCAGTACACAAATGCTCTCCTAATTTCATCACCTGAATGTAACTACGTGGGCATATTTAACAGTGCTGTGGGTGAAGTGTCCTGGGTGCAGAACGTCTGGCTTAGTTTCCAGCCCTATCTCTAACCAGCTTTGTGACCTCAGTTTCCTCCTGAAGGAGGCTGGATTGCATGATCGAGGTCTTAAGCAAACAGTAAGAATTAATTGAATGAGTGAATAAGCGAATGAACTAAAGGCTTCTTCCAGCTTAAAGACCCCTGGGATGTCACCTCTAGATTGTTTCACTGCCTTCCTTATTAGGAGGTACAAAGTTGGTTCCTCCACTAATTCAAAACCAACGTCTCTCTCCATTAGGCAGGTTGAATCGGTGGTATTTCTCCTTTATGCGGAGCCAACGGGTTAATCTTAACTTATTAGTCTGTATGTGTAGATTCTTTGTAAATGAAAGAAAGAAAAAACTTATTTTAGGCGTATGTAGGATCCATCTCCAGAACTTACTTTAATGGGGAAAAAAGAATTTAAAAAAATTAACATCTTAAATATTTTGATTATCTAGCAAACCATGAGATTGCATTTATTTCCTATGTTTTCCTCAATAAAAATGTAATGGCAAAATCTAGGTAACCGCAGCCTGTAAAAAAATAGCTCCAATGACCTATTTTCTAAACCTGAAACCAGGACAGGTGGCTTGACAAATACTACTGTGCTTACAGGAACCAGGTGGATGTATGTTTGAAATGAAGATTTATCCTGAAAATTCGGTAGGCACTGGTAAGGCAACACAAACTGCAGCAAAGGGCTAACTGTCTTTATCAGAGAAAAGTCAACGTAGAGGGTGTCCGTCAGGACCTCGGCCTATGGCCACACCGACTGTGCCCTGTCCAGCGCCAGGGGCATGTGAATTGCACCACAGGTCCCTGCCAGGGGGGACAACCTGGCACCACTCTCAGAGATGTAACTGAATGTAAAGGACGTACCCTGGGGTCATGCAGTGCACAGTCTGCACAACAGTCCACTGAGGCTGTAGTGATCATTCTCCTGGCAGGAAATTTGTTTCTGTTGAGGAGACTGGTAGAGGAAGGCTGCTGTTCTTCTAATTAAGCCTCACTTCAGCCTGGATGGCACTGGCAGAAATTCAACGTATCTAAACTCTCCTAATCTTTCTTTTCCAGAAGTTTTCCTTCATCGCAGCCTACTTTCCTTAAGTTCCTGGCAATTCTTGAAAATGCAAGTCTGT